AATCGACAAATGTGATCGTGTCAGTCTTTTATTCTTGTGATCACCTTGGAGAATTTACTCACAACGTCAGGTCAGTCAGTCAGAAAGATACCGTGCGTCACAGCTAACGTCACTTTGAGTTTCGAAATATATTCAATATCCCGTTGACAGTGGATTCGTTATTGAACCTAAGAACATTGTCTTTACTTTAAGAGTGTCTAACAATCACGATTAATTGTTAAACCCTGTTAAATCAACACTTGTACATATAATTGTAAATATAATCTCTATTGAACAACTACAATGGCTTGTCCTAACAAAGATACGCAACGCGCCCCTAGAACTAGCGACAAACCCGACAAACCCGACATATACTTACATAATATGTTATAAAACATTTACTAATTTCATACAAAATAGGACACTTGACCCGGACTATCAAAAGAACGACTAATCGTCGAAATAAAAAATTAAAATTATTTATTCATGTAAAATACTCAAAAGAAGGGTAAATTAATCGCAAGAATTATAACGACGCAATAATATAATTAATACAAAATAATAAGTTAACAGTTATACCGAGTGTCCAAAAGGCTTATACTATAAGAAATTGGAGGCAAGTCGATGCTTGGTTGCTAAATGCTAAAATCCATTTTTCACAAAACCACCTTTTGTCGAGATACGTTTATTTGAATTGACACGGCTAATATGTCTATGATTAATTAATTGATGCTTAATGCTACACGTCATGACTTATTTAAATTTCTTCATCCGTCTTTTTTAACACGATATCTTCACATCTTCTCCTAAAGTTTTTTTTTTTTTTATTTATTAAAATTACAATCAATTCTCGTGTTGAGAATTCTCCTAAAGTTGACATTAGATCTATATGCAAATGTTTGTTCTTATGGTTCTTACATCTAAGTTCTTCAACTTGTTCTGCTAATTAATGCTCTCATTAATTAATACTTTTGTACACCACCCGAGGAAATCTTTTTGTTCTGCCAAATTATTTATTACTTTTTTCGTACATGCGAGTATCTGTGGCTTTACATACGCGTGTATGAGCTTTTATGTGCTAACGGTGGTACGAAGGCATGGTAATGCTGCACGTGCAATGGTTTCAAATCGACGACACAAATGAGGTTTATTGAACTGGCGACGTGAGATTTGTCAGAAATGAACTGCGGAGTTGCTTTCGTGAAATAATCTTTTCAACAAAAATTTCTTGATAATCGGCGCTAAATGTGTATTACTATGAATTACGCGAGTTACTTACAATTTTTCCAATTAAAAATTATACGAATTATTGTTCTATATCAACAACGAATACCAATGTAGTATCGATACGATGATTGTCCATCTCACAATCACAACAAATCTGTTGCATTCTTTCCATTATTTCCGATCCAATTGTAATTTTTTAACGTTAAAAAAATATCTCAAGTTTGTGCTAAATGTGGAAAAATTGTTATTGGTTTGAATGATTTCCTTTTTTAATTTCATATTGAATATTTTCTTGAAATATTACAAACGTTTTTCGTTTACTAAAATAAGAGCCAAATTGAAATGCTATAAAAAGGCCAAAAGAGCTTATAAAAGAGCCAAATTGAAATACCATAAAAATTCGACAATCGTATGGATGTATAAGCTGTGATGCGAGTTTCATGACCTCACTTATTGCCATTAGATTACTTTTTGGCGAGCTTTGAAATTTACTGTTTCGAGTCTACGAAGTTGCCACATCAACCGTGAATTTTTACAAAAAAAAAAAAAAAAAAAAAAAAAAAA